ATTTAACACCGATGACGACTCCGAAATGACTCCGATGCAGTTCACTATCTAAGAGACATAACCAGGATTTTGACATTGGAATGAGAATCTTAATCAGCCAGGTCAGTTAGAGAGGATCTTTGCAGAATTCAGCTAACCCAACTTCGAATAATGACTAAGGCCGCTCAACCTCGCTAACTATTCCTTGACTTCGCCACTAGTTCTTGGATAGATTCAAAAAGTAATTCACCAATGAGTTATTCAAGCCAGTTACTTTGAAGAAAAAGTTACTTGTAAAATGATTTAGAACGGTACAATGGAATATCAATTATCAAGAAGTTTTCGTTACTGGATGTACATATACTTGAATAGGAGCACCACATTCACACCCAATTTATTTTGTTGTGTCTCTGAACTTGAAAATCGTAGCACTCTAACTATCAATGTTTTTTGAACGCATAACAGTAGAATTCTATTCATATAATGACGATACATCATGCTACTACTTTAATGAAATTATTCGAAATAGAGGAAACAAAAAATAAATTGAAACTTCAAGTTAATCAATATTTATAAACAAATAATTAATTGATATTTTGTTACATATCACAAACATCAATCCATTGTTATCGTTACAAGTGTCCGGAATTATTGACGAAAAAATAAAGCTTATGATAATATTCGTTTAGTAGAGGTTATACTAACAAAAATAATCACAAGAATGAACAGAATAAAAAAGATCCAGTAAATGAATAATGAGCTCTTTTGAAAATTGACTATCATGTTTGTAAAGATCGTCGTAGAGCATGACTTCCACATTTTGTTTCTTTACTGCACTTATAATAACTGTTGGATTGATAAGTGCACCCAACATTCTCGTAAGAACTGTAACATTGATAGGTACGGAATAAAATTCGTTTTTAAAACCACCAGAAATACACAATAATCCATCTTTAATGTTACTTGATTTTTAGTGCACGAACACAAAACGATTACCATTATTATCGGCTATTACAAAGAGAATTTTTGTCATACAAGGCTTTAGCTACGAATCAGAGCGTCATTTCTCAGCTAATGGTTCTATAATAGCTGAAAAATGTATTAGATCTAGTGCGTCGACTGTTGAATCATTCGTTGTTTTTTCGGGAGTGTTTTATTAATGGTCAATGGCCAGATTCTTCTGCTGAAAGTAATCAAGAAAAAAAAATGAAGTTGACAACAACAACATAACGTGTATACCAAATATTATTTCATCGTAGATCATGTGAAAAGGATGGACTAGCTATTATTTTTTGTATGAATTTCTTTCTTTAACTTGTTAACTAGTTATTTTAGCTTATATTACAAGTAACGCTCGTCGCTACGACTCACTTCACCCTCGACTGAATTCATTCTATTCAATTTGACAAATATTATCAGATAAATCGTCAGTTTGTGTGATGCTATAGCCAACACCATACGAACAAGTCTTTCAACTTTCGCAATTTGGAAAAAGCAACACTGGTAATGTCGAGCTTGGAATATGTAGTATTCGCGCGATATTCTCATCATAGATTACATTTCTTTGGCTTTTATGAGAAATTGGTACGATTTTGAATTAGTCGTCTTCCCCACAACAAGTGCCTCAGCTCTTTCGAAAAATACTCTATATTTCATTCAAAGCTTTTCGCAAGAAAAGATGTGTCTACCTCATAAATGAATGGCGAGTCGCTCATCAGCGTCTCCCGAGGGTGCCAGTTGTAACTCACCGATCCCAGATTCTATCTACTTGGTCGAGCTCTTCTGAAAACTATTGTCCAATCTCTAGAAAGCTTCGCGAAAGAAAGGTTCATATCAATCTTAGAAACAAACGGCGAATCATTCGTCGGCGTCATTCGTGACTTGCCAGCTTCATATCCTATCTTCTTTCCCAACTAATCGTTAAGTTGTGTTACGATTCAATTATATTGATTTCCCCTTAACGAATGAATCCATCTATCTGATCGAAAATGAACTTCTTTTTTATTTTCCGAACGATCACTGCATATGGACCATCGATCTGTATAAAGCTTATGAGAACGAAAGATGCTTTTCGAACAAGATTGCCGATTAATTTTTTTCTATGCGTATTTCCATTGATTTTCATAATAATCTCAACTCAAATTATGTTAAAATGTGAGGTGCCGGAAATGCAAAATTTCAGTGGATTTTGTTTTTCGTTCATTTATATATGATTTGATAGAGCGTGAAAAGCTGATCACGAATATATATATTTTATTTCGATTCGATCGTTATTTGACTGAGAAAAACGCTAAACAAGTCGAATGACTACAAATGTCGTATATACAGCTAGATCTCGCTTCTTTTACAGAAATTGTTAAATTTCAAGGTCATTTATTTTGTTAAACTTTTTTTAAATATTATATTCTGAATCAGCGTGAAAAACTGAATTAGAAAATGCTATTTGATTAGATTCAAAGCTAAAAAAAGTTTAAAAAATCCTGCCCAACATAGATACCTCGACATGCTCAAAAGTACGTATCTGTGACTAATCGTGCAAACTAGGGTGTGGGTGTGGGTGTGGGTGTGGGCGAGTGTGGGTGGGATGGGTGGTGTGAGTGTGTGGATGTGGATGAAGACAAGATCTATACCCACACCCACACCCATATCCCACACCCACCCTCGTATTCTATGTTGATTGTGTCAATGTATACAATATAAGAGATGAAATAATTGCTAGAAAAAAGAAAAAAATATCAATCTTTTAATGTTCAAATGTGATTTATACATATGAAAAAGATCAACTCATCATAATCATTATTCATTTCTAAATCAAAAGTACGGCTAAAATATTGAATTCATGTTTCGAAAGTACATAGAAAGAAATCTTATTCGAAGTCAATTTTTGTTACTTTACGCTCCTTGAAGAGTCCGAAAAAAATCAAATAAACATCTTGTCTAATTATTTTTCTTTTCGATAGATACTTGAAATAGTATGACACAAGTTTTTCATTATCTTAGTGATTGTTTTTGGATCAGTTAATTTTTCTTGGTAAATTTTTAAATAATGATTATTGATTATGTAAATATTTTTTTGGAGACTATATTCTGACAAAATTGAAGGTCATTCGTTGTTGTTATTCTTCTTTGATGCAAACTCGCATTTGTTTGCACAAGCACACTTAAAAATGAATGATAAAAATAATCTTTCGTTTACTAGCAAACAAAAGACACTTCTATACATACATAACAACTTACCAAGCAACAAAAACAACCGACTATCAACAAAGAAAAAAAAATCTCTATTTAATTACGAAGACGAACTAACTAATAAATGAAAATTTCCATTTATTTTCATTTATTGTATGATTAAAATAGGTAATACAGTATGATGATCGATCGATAAACAATATATGATTAATAATTTTGTGTTTGCAAGACAAATGAAATAGCAAATAAAGACGAGAGAGAGAGAGAGAGAGAGAAAGAAAGAAAGAAACATGGTGGTGTGGATGTGAGAGCAATTAGATAATCTTTGTTGAAAACGTTTAAAAATTTGATTTATTTTTGTTTATCATTGAAATTCATGACAAAATCTCGAGAATGAATGTAAATATACATATTTTTCAAATCTTATCGATTGATTTCAAAACACGTAGTCTTCTTTGCTGCTCACGTCTACGGCGATGCTGGAAAAAACCTTGACAACAATGATAACAACAACATTCATTTTATTAGTATTTTTTTTTCGTTTCTTTTTCATCATCATCTTATTATTATTATTATTATTTCCATGACCATGTATTCGTTTCGTTCGTTGTTGTTCTTTGATGCAGACTCGCTCGCTTCACAAATACACTTAAACTAAACAATGCAAAATCGTTCGCTCACTAGAAAACAAAGCATATTCCTAATGATAATCGACCCAAAAAACAAATGATTATCAACAAATAAAAGTTTAGCATACACTAGTAGTTTTACTTATTAGACTGAGCGAACGACACATCTTATTTACAACTGTAACTATTCTTCTTCATTAGAATGGTTGACATTAGGAGTGTTTAATTGTTATGATCTTTGAAAAGTCATGAAATAGCTATTTTTTCAAAATTGTTACACTAGCAAATAACTTTACTTTTTTTTGCCATTCTATTAGATTGTCTGATTGAAAAACAATTGGATTATGTACATACAGAACGAAAGAGCAAAGATAAGAAAGAAACTATTGAAGTATTTCATTGAAACAGACAGAGAACGGTAGCTTTTTTTTCTTTCGATAGGATCCTTATTGATTTAATACAATCAAACAAACTGATTGTACATAGAAATATAAACAAGAGAATGTTAGAAACAATAGAAACAACCTTATTGATTGGCAACCAAAAAGAAACAATATTTCAATCATAACTGAGAAAAAAAAATCGTCCGTCAAAGTGCATATTCGTGTTTTTAATACATAAGAACTTTTATTCATTCATTTTATTCTACTGCGTATAACATGGGTTGTGGTGCATCAGTGACAACAGATAAATCTGTTGTAAATTCCACTACTCCTATCAATATAAGTTCACCCACACATCCTCACCGTTCTCAAGTCTCTATCACGAACGGAGAAAAAGGTCAGCAACGTGTACAATCCCAAGATCTTGTACAAAATTATTTTCTACTTTGGCTCGATGGTAATCTAGATGAGTCAGACGAAGATTTTCAAAATTCAATTAAGCAATTGCAACTAACCGTCGATACGATTGAGAAATTTCGTGATGCCGATGAATGTCTTAACTATATTTCAAGTTTCAAAAATCATAAAGCTTTTCTTATTGTATCTGGGACTCTCACTGAAAATGTCTTACCACGTGTTCACGGCATGTCTCAAATTTATGCAATCTATATATTTTGTCGCAAAAAATCAAAATACGAACAATGGAAAACGAAAGAGTGGCCGAAAGTAAGAGGTGTATTCACGGAAATTCACTCGATTTGCGCTTCTGTTCAGCAATCAGCTCGAGAATGCGATGATGATACTGTTGGAATTACTGGTGAATTAGAATCATCATTTATGTATACAACATTTTTCAAAGAAATTGTACTTGAAATTGATTTTGACGAAAAGAAAACAATTCCAGAACTTGCCGATTACGCTCGTCAACAAAAGGTGTATGCTAATAATAAAAAAGGACTAGAACTCATCAACGAATTCGCCCAAAAATATCACGGTAACATCGACAACAATCCTGTTCGATGGTATACTGCCGAATGTTTCACATACAAAATGCTCAACAAAGCACTTGGTAATCTAGACGTTAATACTTTACTCAAAACAGGTTTTTTCATGCGTGATCTTCATCAAAATATCCAACAACTCCATGACGAACAATTGAATGACAAGGATAAGTCATTTCCAAGTATAGTTTACCGTGGTCAAACTATGACACAACAAGACTTCGAAATCAAAATCCAACCAGACAAACTCATGTCTTATAATAACTTCTTATCAACAAGTGAACTAAGAAATGTTGCTGTTGGTTTCATTCGTCGAAAACTTCCAAGCGACAACACTAAAATTGGTCTCCTTTTTATCATAACAATTGATCCACCAATAAAATCGGTTCCATATGCTCGCATCGCTAAATTCAGCAAATTTCCAGACGAAAAAGAAATTCTCTTTTCAACGCACACTGTATTTCGGGTTGGACAAATCAAAGAAATCCAAGAGGAAGAAATGAAGATATGGCAAGTCAAACTTACACTTACTAGTGACGGTGTCGATGAACAGTTGAGTGCGCTTACAGAACAAATACGGATAGAGATCACTGGTACTGGTTGGCAACGAATGGGCATATTGTTATGGAAAATGGGTGAGAATGATAAAGCAGAACAAGTTTTTACGATGTTACTTGATCAAGAACCCGATGATGTCAATAATAAAGCATATTGTTATAACGCAATTGGACTCATGAAAGATAAACAAGGACAATATAATGTAGCCATCGAGTTTTACGAAAAATCACTCGATATCAACGAAAAAATTCTCCCTCCGAATCATCCCTCATTGGCTACTTCATACAACAACATCGCTTCGGTACATAAGAACATGGGTGACTACTCGAAAGCACTTGAATTTTACGAAAAAGCACTTAAAATCGACGAAAAAACTCTCCCTCCGAATCATCCTCATTTGGCTACCTCCTACAACAACATCGGTCTAGTGTATAACAACATGGGTGACTACTCGAAAGCACTTGAATTTTACGAAAAATCACTTAAAATAAGAGAAAAAGCTCTACCACCGAATCATCCCGATTTGGCTACTTCCAACGACAACATCGGTCTCGTGTATAACAACATGGGTGACTACTCGAAAGCACTTGAATTTTACGAAAAAGCACATAAAATCTACGAAAAAGCTCTGCCTCCGAATCATCTCGATTTGGCTATTTCCTACAACAACATCGGTTCTGTGTATGACGACATGAAAGACTACTCGAAAGCACTCGAATTTTACGAAAAAGCACGTAAAATCTACGAAAAAGCTCTGCCTCCGAATCATCCCGATTTGGCTATTTCCTACAACAACATCGGTTTGGTGTATGACGACATGGATGACTACTCGAAAGCACTTGAATTTTACGAAAAAGCCCATAAAATAAAAGAAAAAGCTCTGCCTCCGAATCATCCCTCATTGGCTACTTCCTACAACAACATCGGTGCGGCGTATTCCGGCAAAGGAGACTACTCAAAAGCACTCTCATTCTTAGAAAAGGCACTTTCTATATGGCAAAAATCACTTTCATCTAACCATCCTAATATTAGAAAGGTCACAAATTCAATTGACAATGTAAAAAAGAAAATGTAACTGTAATTTTTTCTTCTTGCTTGCTCAATAAATTTATTCGCAATGCTAATCGTTTCGATTTTTCTCGGCTCATTTTTGCTTACCCGCGCGCGCGCGCGCGACAAGGGAGAGATCCCTTGTCAATGCCATAGGTACCACAGGCGGACCACGCCGGACTGGTAGGGCAATGGCCAAAGGTATGCCGTCTGAACGGTAGGGACCAACGAAACATAGGGGCCTTCCCTAGTACTACACTGCTTCGCTATGACACGAAAGTTCCTGTCCCTATTGAATCAGACAACGTAGTTCTCTGACCCACACTAATAACATTCATAACTCAACTCAACTCATCTCATCTCAAAAGTACTCATACTCATAATAACTGATAGTATTTATTTTCTTCTGGAAATAAGTTATCTCAACTCAACTCAACATGTAAAAAAATGTTTGTCTTACCTCTCAATGTCATATGATATCGTAGTTCATCTAAAAAAAAGTAATTTTAAATAAAAAATGAATTAATTTACCTTATTTTTAATATAATATATGATTATCATTGTAAATAATATCATAATAATAATAAACCCAGGTATATAAATACATTGTAATCCATTATAATGATACAGCTCGAGTGTACTGTTTCATGATGATGTATCAATGCTTTTATATACCCTGAGGTTAATTGTTCGATATTCAAAATTTTGATTGATTTTTTATCAATCATTGAGCATACATGATTTGATGTTCCACGCATATATTAATTGATATGTTCAACACATAACACCACATAATTTATTTGATGATCAATTTTTATGTAGTGATATGTGTATATTTTTTTAACTTTTTTTTTCGTCTGACGTACATCGATATCACGTCGTCGTCGACGAAAAAAATTTTCATCTTATATATATAGGAGTGTGGGTCGAAGAAGATAGGATTATTCACACTCATACACCAACTGTTTGTTTTTTTCTTATGTAAAATTTTCATTGTAATATTATGCTTCAGAATTCATCTACAATATTGTATATGTGCAATAATTAATGATTTTCGCTTTGACTGTGATTGAAAAATAATTATTATTATTCTGACTCATATATTCATTATGTTATTATTATCGAGAGAACACATAATTCTCAGTTAGATTGAAGGTTAAATTAGAAAATAATAGTTTTTTTTCTGTTTTGATATACTTATAGTATATTTTTCATAATATCATGGGATTTATCGATCTCTATAACAGATACTTCTATTTAATCTTCCAGTTTAAACCAAAATCATTCAAAATTTTCTGTATATTATTTTATTAAAACAAGATTTCAATAACTAAAGGCAATTTTATATTTTAAGATAAGTTAGTGATCATCATATTTAATATACTCGAATAATAATAATAATATACAATACAATAGTGTTTTGTGTTCTCAATAATAAATTTCTATTTTTCTATTTATTCATAAAACATATTTGAAATATCTATGAGAAATGAAAGAATTTTTAAATAAATGTGGAAACCTCGGATTTAAATCCGAGTGTTATATGTACTTCAAAAAGTGAAGAATAATTGACGACAGATTAATTTTGATCAAACTGTCTAAAAAAAGATCATTCTTGAGAGCAGTAAGGAATAGGGATCGACCGGCTCACGTTCAGAAACTCCATTCAAATAAACTGAACTTAAAGCTACACTAGATATTTTAATACGGGTGTATCCATAGACCCTGAAGGTCTATTATACAGGGATATCCATAAGATAGTCCTTAAGGACCTATTGGTACTCTTATTTAATAGAACTTGAGGAACTATTGGTACCCCTATATAATAGAACTTGTGGACCTATGAATATCCCCATAGAACACTTAAGGAGTCATAGATATCCAGCCTGTGATGCCCCTAAGGAATCCTGAAGATGGTATGTGTAACTTTTCATGATGATCAGCTCATAGAGCTACAGTATTTGGAAAGGTTCAGTTTGTTTAAAAGAACTGTTCAAATAGTTCAGTTTGTGGTAGTGAGCGTTTTGAACAGTTCATCAGTTCTGAACTAGAGCTGAACTTGTTTTAGGTAACAAAGATCGAACACAAGTTTTGTTCTAACATTATATTGATTTTATTTAAAATTTCATTTAATATTAATATTTAAATAAATAAAATCTAATTGATCTATTCTATCTCTCGTCGTTTTTTTTTCTTCTCTCTTCTATAATTAAGTTTAACCTCAATATTCGAACTCTATTAGCATGAAAAAAAAAACACATAAGATATACTTTATGGATGAGAGAAAAAAACATAAGATTATTTTCTTTCCTGCGGGTATCGTTACCATATAACATAAGCACTTTTTCGATCCTCCCTATTATCATTAATCTCTAAACATTTGATTTGATCATAACATCTAAAGATTAGTTTTATCCTAATCGAGATTTTAGAGAATAATTTGAAAATATTCTCAATTGCTATATATATGTTGACCAAGGTGATTTGATGATTCGTTTCAAGTAGTTTAAATAGATGTTAGATATCTCTAGACGATAAATAGATATCATCATTTTGGAATTTTATCCTATATAATATATCCGGTAAACTGATTTTATTTTATTTCCGAGATAAAATGTTGACTATAGAGTAAGATTGAATCCTAACCGAAAAATGTCGAGATTGATAGTTGTCTCATCTTTGAAGACCGAAACGAGATTTTACATATACTATATCTTATTAGGATGTTTCAATAGAAAAAAAGATTTTCAATGAAAATAAAAGATAATTCGGTGTAAAATAGAAGATTTTATTTCAATGTAAATGGTTAATTGTTTAAAATAAGTCTAAGGTTATCTCGATAAATAGTTAACTGTTAGAAATAAAATATCTCTATTAGAAAATGATTTGTTTATATTATATTTGAATATTTGGTAAAGAATTGATTATCGAAGGGCTCTCTGTTCTTTTTCGTCGTTTCGTTATATAATTATAATATTGAAAAAAAAACGAGTGCCCCTGGCATCATTTAATGGAAAGCATTCTTTTATTGAGAGATTAGCAAATGAGAATTATTTATCTAATAATAATCGATCAAATTCCGAACAACGATCAAGTCTTGCAACGTATTCTTGGATGAGATTTTCATTTTTTTAATTCAAATAAAAAGACAACAACTTATTCTATATAAGTTTTTTTTCAATATATATATATATTTATTTTAATTAACATTTTAAATAATCGATTTATATGATAAGATGTTTCTCTTGTTTTTGTTATTATAATTGTAATTCTATTGAATATGGTTATATTATAATATTAATAGATTTATTTATATTAGAGATTCAAAAATAAAATAATATATAGAATTGATATATTCTATTTAAAAATAAAAAATAAATCTCATTTATTATCTTTATTTATGTTTAGTTTATTTCGATTTAATAAAATAGTTTTTTAACATTGAAATGAGAGAAAAAAATACTGATAAATTATATTCGAAAGATATAATATATTCAAAGAATTATTTTCAATGGAAATCGAAATGACTCGATCGATTTAACGTATATTATACGAATGGAAGATATTTATTGAAATAAATCAAACTCTTAAATAAATGAATGAAATCTTATATTAATATAATAAATCATTTCAATGGTTAGACTAATATTGATAGAAATAAGATTTTATTCAATTTATTTTAATTTAATTGAGTTAACCCTTTGCTAGTGTTTTTTTTTTGTTAAAAATTTTTCTATAGTTTTATAATGAAATTATTTTATGTTATTATTGTCGAGTTAAGATAATAATTATATATTATTGTTTTTCATTAAAAAAAATCTTTATCTAGAAATAAAATATCATTTGTTTTGAAGAGTATTCAAATTGTTAAAAAGAATTTTTCAAATTTAACCAAACGTTTTATATTATTTAAATAGATTTAAAAAATAGTTTTCATATTCGTAGAATTAAAAAAACCAAACTTTCATATTAAATCTTTATTGTTATTTTTTCAAAGCTAATTTAAATAGTTAACTATCTCCTTGAATTTGGTCCAAAATTCGTTATTTATTATATAAATCGATTTCTAGATGAATCTATATGGATTATCTGATTATATATAAAGATTGACAACGAAAATTATTTACTGTTTTAATAATCTATCCTAGAAACATTATATTGACCTGAACTATTTTGACACAATTTATTTCTCTCTACTGAGCGATCGCTAACAAATGGTTAATATTTCATCCGATTTGAACTTGTTTTGTCGAAAATCTGTTTTTAACTGCTAGATAGAAACGTTCTATAAGACGAAATAATGATAAAATAGTTCGAATTATCGATTAAAAATTTCTAAGGAAATAAATTTGATCGATCCTTATAAAAATGTTTTGAAAATAAATTTGTTTGAATAGAATATTTATCGATATGGTTAAACTAAGAAATTCGAAAATAAAAAATGAAAATATTTTGTTTTTTTTTATATTTATTAATATAGAAGTGATGGTGTACTTGATTAATACAATCGAGTTCGTTATATTCGAGATTCTTGTAAAGTATAGTCTGATCTTTGGAAAATAGATAAAGATTTTGTAAGTTAAATAAAAGTATTGATAAGGATGTATCAAAATCATTGAAAGAATTTCGTTTGAGTGATGTTGCACGTTGTTATCGTTCTCCATATAGAACAAATGGTGCTTTATCGATTTTAAATCAAACAATTGATGATTTAATTCAAACATATGATTTTATTGATTCAAAAAGAAAAGAATGGCTTGAACAATTTTAAAAAATTATTGAACAAGCTAGAGATAAACAAGTATTTATTGATTTTATTTCTATTTCTTTATTTATTGATTTATTTCTAATGTAAGTCAACTATTCGTCAAACAATGACTGAACTAAGCTATTGCCAATTTAAAAAAGTTTCTGTTTTTATTATTTAAAATAAAAAATGTTTTAATGATTCTTTAATTTGTTCTACTTTTCATTTCAAAATATAATGTGCCCCATTGTTTTTTTTTGCATAATTTTTGATAGGAACATCATAGAGATCTTCGGCTTTCACCATTCAAGAGAGAAGATCCGGAACCTTCCAAAATTCTCGCCAAGAACTTATCCAATTAGCCAATGAAATTTTGATATATTTCGATTGCTTTGGATCTTCTCCCTTGAATGGTGAAAACTGCAGGTCTCTTTGATATTTCTATCAAAATTTATTCAAAAACCAATAGAGCACACCTTATTTTGAAATGAATAGTAGTTATTATCGTTAAGAAAAGAAGTCAAAAGTACTGCGTTTCTAAACGTTTTGCTTTCACATTACTTATCATAGTTAATAAGATCATTTTTCTTATCGTTCAATATGGGTAAGGTAAATGAATATAGTAAAAAAGTAACTTGTGTTGCTTTATTTTGTTTTTTGACGAATTTTCTTATATTTTTTGTTCCTAATACAAACAATTGAATGTCAATTATTATTAGTATAGAATGAGTCTTTTTTTCTTATTTAGAACTCGACAACAAGATTTCTATGATCAATATTCATCATCATACAATGATTCACATTATTGGCATGGAAATAATTCAAATTCATATGATTTTATGGTTCAACATTCATCTCATACACTTTTACAACAAAATGGTTTTACTCAACAAGTTTATCTTAAATATAAACAACAATGTCTTGATGGTAAAAAAGAAACTTTGATCGTAGAGAAAAAAAAGATTATTAGTTCAGTACATATTTACAATATTTCGAGAGAAACAAACTACTGGTAAAAAAAGATTGAAATTACGTGGCATTGAACGTAAAGAAAACAAGTCTCTTAATGAATAAAGAACAGTCAACATATCTAAAAACAACAGCGAAAACTACTCTCCGGTAAAAATCAGAGTCTAAAAAGACTTATATTCTTATTTAAATAGATAACAGAGAATATGTCTGTTGCTATAATTTTCAAAGAAAAAACAAAGATTTTACTCTTTTATGGAGTTTTTTAATAAATACTATCATCTTATCTACATGATAAATTTGAAAAGCAATAAAATAATCATCAATGATTAAAAACACTAAGTTTCACTGATCGTCAAACTTTATTATTTCATAGAAAATATTTATAATCTAAAGTTATGTTGATTTACAAATAAAATACATTTTGTTTTCTGTAATGATCTAATTTCTAGAACGCGTTAAACTTGGTCCTGGTCAATCAATGGAAATGAATACATTCTATCGTTTTTAGTCATTTTTCTTATGTGAAAAATTTAATCGTCATATGTACAATGAATTTAAACAATATGCTGTTGAAGATACTAAAACTGATCATCGGCATATAAATGAATTGTTTTTATGAAAAATAATAAGAAAAAAAATTGAATATTACTATTTATGTATAGATATGGTGTTGAATGTCTATTTCGATTTTATACATATGGTATAGAAAAACATTTTCGTCAAGATGTATTTGAAGATTTTCAGCAAAAAACTCTTTGTGATCATGAAGCTGGTAATAAAAAAGATTACACAAAAAAAAAATAAAAGAAAAGTGTCAATAACAAAAATAATTTTTCTATTTAAGTCAATTATATGGTTTAGAAAAATTCTGGGCATTTTAAAAATATTCTCGACAAAAATCAATCCAAAACTTGAAGAAATTTTAAAAAACTATAAAAATCTTGAAGATTTTCGTGTTGATGGTGCATCATTTCCACAACAATTTTTTCCAGCAAAATCAAATTATAGTAATTGAAAAACATTGTTTTTTTTCTATTATATAAATAATTTCTTTATAGACTGTTCCAGCATACGAAGCAATTCAAATTCATTAAAACCCAATGGTGAACAATATCTGAACGGTGCTAAACTTTATACACGTTTTGCTTTTCTTTTATTTTGTCTAAAATAAAAAACGGTGCTCACATTTTTTCAAGTGGATTTCGATTTATTTAAAAGTATGCATGTATTTTTTTTTTGCTTTCAAAGTTTATTGTTATTTAATCTTTTTCTATGTCTATATTACATTGGTTTGTTATTGTAGTAGATAGATAAATTAAATAGTGATGCATTTTCTTTTTCTATCGATAGAGATATGAAGAATTTTCGTATGGTTTCGTTTTGTTTCTGGAACTATTTGCTAATAAATTCATCTCGTTTATTTAATAATATTGGTAAGATATTGAGATAATATTTTATTTCGATAGAAGAATTTAGTGTTTTAGGAAGAATTGGTATTGGTTTAGCTATTGTTGGTGGTGTGATTAATTGTATGCTTTATAATGGTAAATATGAAAAGATTAAAAAAAACTTGTTTTCTATAAATATAAATATATTCTAATTGATGATGGTCATCGAAATGTTATTTTTGATCGTTTTCAAGGTGTTAAACTAGATGTTATTGAAGAAGGAACTCATTTTATGATTTCATGGCTTCGTAGACCAATTATATTTGATATTCGTACACGACCACGATCTGTTCCATCAATAACAGAAATAAAAGGTATAAAAGCTAGAAGAAAACAGTCAACTTCAGGAGAGAGGTGAACATGAGGAAAATGTAAGCTCGCGAAAAAAAGAAGGTAAATACGATGTCTATTGAAACATCAATGAATGTATATGGCTGAGGTATCTTAAAAAATTTTGTGGCCATCGATGGCGACTCAACTGATCGGTTAGATTTACAAACAATTAATATAACATTACGTACTCTTTATCGACCAAGAGCTGAACTTTTACCAAAACTTTTTTGCAAATTTGAGTTTAGATTGTGAAGAACGTGTTTTATCATCGATTATTAATGAAGTTTTAAAGTCTGTTGTACTAAGTCTCAATTTGATGCTATTGAATTGATTACACAACGTACACTTATTTCTCAACGTGTTAGTGAATTATTAATAGAACATGCTGCTTAATTTGGTTTATTACTTGATGATATTTCAATTGTAAGATACAACAAAAAAGAGTCTCCAGTTAATTATATGTAGTTTTTTTCTTTAAATTAGACACATTTAAATTTTAGACCTGAATTTACAAGTGCTGTTGAATTCAAACAACGCTTTTTAGTCGAAAAAGTAAATCAATAAGAATAAAATTTGTATGAGTTTGTTTTTTTTTTGATAAAAAAAAACAGACGGAACAAAGTCGTCAAGCAAATGTTATTGCAGCAGAAGGTGATGCTCGTACAGCTGATTTGATTGGCAAAGCTTTAGATGAAGCTGGTGATGGTAAATTTTCGAATATCTTTTATTATCCTGTCTTACTTTGTTTTAATATTCATGTTAGGTTTGATCGAACTTCGACGAATTGAAGCCGCTGATGGTATTGCAAATCAATTATCAAAATCAAGAAATAGCGTCTATTTACCACATGGTCCTCAAATGTTACTTAACATTACTGATACTATGCAATAAAAATATTGTTTTTTGTTTTCATAGTAAACTAACGAGATTGATTTAGGAAAATAAAAAGAACATATAAGAGTTTTTTTTTGTAGGTGTGCATGTGTTTATAAACTATTGAGAATATTAAAGCATTGTATTGTCCTGTTTTTTGTTCGATTAAAGAAAAAGAAGATCAGATCAACAATTCTCTAGATGACATTAAAGATTCGAGTACGATTGAAATGATGAATTTCGATAATCTCTTTCGACGTTTTATATTAACTCAATCATTTGTACGTGGCTGGGGAAATCCATTTTATTTACAAGAAATTTTTACCTATCGACGTGAAAAAATTGCTGTAAGAGATGAGTGTTTAGAACTTGTACCAGCTGAAAATGTACAGGAAAGTACTGTTGAAATAATTAAACAAGAAACAAAAAAGTAATCAAAATTATATAAATGATCGATTTCGTTCACCATTTGTCAATTATTTACCACATTTGGTAAGTAATTAAAATTATTTTAATCATTTAATTAATATTATCTTTTTTTTTTTTGTTATATTTATTTAAATAGGTTCCATCTCAAGTAGCTACAGCTCATTTTCAACTTGTTCTATCACGTGATCATCGTTTTGGTATTGATTCAATTCCAATAGAAATTTCTTATGATGGAACAGGTGATCATGGTTTTTGTCGACGAAGGTTATTTACTGCAGTCTCATTAATTAATCAATATCCTATAGGTTCAATTCTTCTTGAAAATCCATATTATGGTTTAAGAAAACCACCAGATCAATCTCGTTCATCATTATTGTATGTTACCAATTTATATATCATGGGTGAAGCACTTGTTTTAGAAACACTTATGCTACTTCATTGGTGTCAAAAAATGAAATTAACATCAGCTATTCTACATGGTTTTTCTCTTGATGGACATATGGCTTCATTAGCATTTACAAAGTAAGATTCAATTCTATTATTTGATCTATTTAATGAATGGATATAGAGTATCTATCATAATTTCAAATAATGATTCAAGTAGAGCAAACCATATTA